TCTGGGGAGGGAGCCCTGGGCTTATGCTTATTTCAAGTTTTAGTAAAATAGAGCAGGTGGGCTGAGGGCTTTTTCATGTTCTTCTTCTGCTAGGGCAGCTCTCTTTGTCTAGGAAAGATTATGTGTGAACAAATACAACCCTGCGCTATCCTGACATCATCTCCCCATTGATCTACTGCATGTAAGGAAATGAACTCTTCACTTAGGTCACTGCGTCTGGGTGTTCAACACATGCACCCCAATAGAACCCCAACAGTTAGAGCTTAATGTTTCTACCCCTCTCGTCCCATTCTCTATACAGAGCTGTATAGTTGACTCCTAAAATACGGAGCTGCCTTTTTTATTCTGTAGCATTACACTGGGCATGGCACACAATCCTGTATGGACTGGGCTTGCCAGTTCTCCAGTCACGGCTGCCTCCATTCTCCAGCTGATGTATTCACTCCAGCCATACACAAAGCCCCTTTGGTGCTTTCCTCTATGCTCTTTCCTCTCATTTGTGGTCCTTATTTTTCCTCTCCCTGGAATGCCCTTCCCTGCTTGGCCTGTCCAGTGAGCGCTGGAAACCCTGTTCCAGCATCACCTCTAAGAACTCTTCTCCAGCACCTTCCTTTTAACAAATCAGGTGGCGTGTACATCTTGCATTACTGCATTGAATAAATGACATTCATGATTATCGGGTGCATAGTGGGTGACCAACAGACACTTGTCGAACTGAACTTGGTCTCTGTTTGATAGGACCAGCAGCGGGCAGATTGTGAAAGTGCAGTTCTAGGAATTCCCAAGGCATGCTAAAATTCGGGAGTGAATCAGGCATTTAAAAAGAAATTATCCATTAGTGCTGTAACAAAATGTACCAATAACATTTCTTAGGCAAGTAATCCAGGCAAAATTCTGATGCCTTCATGGGCAAGAGAATTGACCTACTGAGAAAGAAAAGCCCAAAGGACAAGCTCACACGAGAGTAAAGAGTGTTCTCACATCTACACCGAGAACAAAGGACTCATGTGTACTAAGAAGTTGCCTTGGAGATGTCACCCAAACAGAGACCCATAAATGCTGTTGACATTCAAACATTCAATGAAACAATACTTTATCCCCCTTACTAATGAAGGCAATATGAAAGAATGAGCTGGATGCAGAATCAATCAGAGCCTGACCCTGAGCTCTGGCCCTGGGTCAGATAAGCTAACTCGACAAAATGGTGCTATTAAGCTTTTCAAAGTGTGCTTTTCACAAAATTCCTCTTAATAAAAATATACACAGAGCACACAATGTCTAGGCTCACTATACACTAGTATCGCACGATTAACAAAGCTCGATGGGCCTTATCTTCTTCACCTATAAGACGGCAGCCTCTCTGAGTTCTAACTTCTCATGGCTTTGTGTAACGCAAAGGCATCTACTCACAGGCATCTAGATTTCTCCACGGAAAAATACAAATACATATTTATTTCATGTGCTTTTAACTTGGAAACATGTTGTTGATTAAGGATGCGGCTTAGAAATGTAGACCTCTTTTTAAAGGTACCTGTCTAGTTTGCCAAAGTAGTGAAGCCTAGACATTTTATATTCTTCTATGTCTTCGGTTCCCATCTCTAAAAATACAGTGATGACATTTATCCCTGACCTCTACCTACCGCAGGGAGTACAGAAAAGATAGGGGTGACAGCGCTCATTAAAGCCATGAACTTCTTGAAAGAGAGAACAAACACTCACTGTAGCTACAACGTTAGCAACCCTGACATTGCTTGGGGCTTTAAAAATCGAATTTTATTATGAGATGAAGTTCCCTGTTCCCAGGATGCTATATAACTCCATCCAGCAAACTCGTCCAACAAAAGCTGAAATGCATGAACAATAAAGGCAACTCATTAGGAAGGTCTTGTCTCATTCCCAGCACGGCACCACCCACGTGAAAAATAGTAGGAGAATTTTGTCCCAATCCTAAAGAGCAACTGATGAGACGTGAATGTGCCTAGAAAGCTGCAGAAAAAATGTTTTCAGAGGAATGCTTGCAGGTGGGAGTAAGGCCGCATCTGGATTCCCGCCTGCTAATTCCTAGTGGTGGCCCAGTGGTTGACACATGGACATTCTATCGGCACCTTCATCACAGCCCTCGCCTCCCCTGCCCATCTTTATGGGGAAACTCATAATTTCCCCATAGGCCAAACTGTATCTTGAATTTATGTTTAGGGTTGATGTTAGCAGTTTCTCACTGGCCACGGGAATTTTTAACAATTAAAATGTGAAAATTAAAGAGAACCCCAATAACTTTAAGTGGACAACATATTCATTATTTAACTAAAAAAAAAAAAAAGAGAAATGTGGGAGAAGAGAATTTTGCCAAGAGGCAGTGCCAAATGATAGGGTATATCCCATTTTCTGTACCCTCTTTTTTCACTATTCATTTGCTGAATGAGAGATTATTGATCACTTATTCAGTAAATATTTACTAAATGCCTCGCTTTCACCAAGGATCATGCTTGCCCTAGGGCTACAGACATCATCCCTATTCTCAAAGAGTCTAATAAAAAAAATAGTATGAGAGAAGAACATTACGTTAATTAAGCTCCTACTCTGTGCCAGGTGCTTTCCTTGTCAAATCTTCACAACAATTGATGAGAAAGGATCGATGAAACGCTCCCCATTTAACAAATGTGAATTGAGGCTCAATAATTTGCCCACAGTTACACAGTTCAGAGGAGACCACATTTGCATTCACACTGGGCTAATTCCAAAAAGTAGAAGGCAGAAAACAGACAAAATCACCCATTATCCGACCACTCTGATCCCAAACCACCAATATTTTAGAGACTTTCCTTAAAGGTTTTTTTTTTTCCTTCCCCCACATATAGGTTAATTTTTAAATTTTTAACAATGTGTTTCACAGTTGTAATCAAAGCGTGTTATACAGCATTTCATTGGAACTATGACACCGGTGACTGTGAGATGCTCCATTATTCAATATCGCACCAGAAAGAAAAATCACTGCCAATTATGTGATGCCACTGACTGTGAGATATGTCCAGATTTCAGCAATGTTAAAATGTGAAGGTAAAAAATGTGTGTCTCAGAATCGTGACCTTCTTGGCATTGCACGCAGCCCACTCTCGTGCTGTGAGCCTCCTGCCTGGAGGGGCGAGGATGGCTTGCAGCTCTGAGGGCCTGGGTCTCTTCTAGCAGACAGGCTTCTTGACGGGGCTGGCAGGCCCCCCTGAGAAGGCAGAGGGCTCTGTTTGTCTTTCTTACGCATGCCTGGCCCTGTGCAGAGTGAGCACTGAAGAAATAGTTCTTGGTTGAATAAATACATACCTGAAGCTTGAGAAGAAGGTTAAAAATTACCATATCCCTGAAGAATGGTACAAGTCCAAATTTTGTTGGGGAATAAGGGATTTGTGCCGCTACGCGGGGGACATGGGAGAGGAGACAGATGGAACACTGAGCCAGAGGAAGTGGCCCTGCTTCTTAAGGCCGTTTGCTTCCTACAGCTTTTATACTGGCTTCTCTCTGCTGTTCAGGCCTTTACTCTGCTGTCAGTACCCAAGCTTCATTTCCCAGCACCTTACAAAAGGACTAACAGTTATTCACACTCAGTGAATTACTCAGTGAATCACTCAGTGATTTAGATTTGTTTGGGGATACCACCCATTAATTTTAAGGAATAACTCATACAGGTAAAATTTAGGAGTTAGCAAGAGGTGGATGGAGGAGGGCCATGATTTTCATAAGTTGAAACACTTAAGCCTAAATAGGAAGCATCTCTTCTGCTTATACAGAAGGACTGACTGCGCCGGGGAAGTAAAAGGCTATGACAGTTCGAATCTATATGATTTAGCAATCCAACCTGCTATGGGTGGTCATGAAGATATTATATGCCTCAACTGGCAAAATGGATGTAAGTCAAGAAAATAATTTAAGGCAGACTTAGTTCTCCATGCATGTAACCCATGAAACACAAGATCTGAACATTTTGAAAAGCACTGTGATTTCTCTTGGTTTTCTTCTGTCCTTTTCTTCCCCCATTGCAGGTGTCCTCAAACTACAGCCCGCGGGCCACATGCAGCCCGCCTAGGACATTTATCCAGCCTGCCAGGTGTTTTTGCTGCCCCTGTCTGTCCTGCTTAGCAGCCGACTTGTCCCGGGGCCTGCAGTCTGGCCCTCCAACGGTCTGAGGGACAGTGAACTGGCCCCCTGTTTAAAAAGTTTGAGGACTCCTGAATGAGTGCCTGTGTGTCTTTAGTACATGTGGAGAGTTCTGTTATGTTCCCTATGGGATATGATGAGATATGATAAAAATTTTAACCTTAAAAAGAAATTAGACATTAATAGTGGAGCTAAGTTTTTTCTCATACATCTCCCCAGCCAGAAATTAACTGGCCTAGGCAGGGCAGTATCCAGAGGAGTCCTGGCCGCCCAGACCTGTGGCCTAGATGAGAGCCAGACCCAGGAGTGCTGAGGTGAGTATAAGTACTACCAGGGAGTACACAGGGGAGATGTAGTCTGAGCTTAGAGACAGGAGCAGTAAAATCAGCCGGGGGAGGGGGGAATCAGGACAGGCCTCCCAAAGGAGGTGTCATGTCCTCTGGGCCTTGAAGGATGGAGAGGATGTGGGCATAGGAGATGAGGACAAAGACCTACCAGATGAGAGGCATGCCTGGGCATAGTACTCCTGTTTTCCCTTCACATGGGCTGTTTATTGTTTTGGAACAAAACGCTGTTGCTAGGTTATGGAGCACTGGTCAATGAATGGATCGTTGCCTTGAGCTGACCGTTTGGGGTGTCATAAGTCCTACCGTCTCAGGGCCAAAGCCAGGAAAATACTATAGGACTTCATGCTTATTAAGTGTGAAATTTTAGAGGAAGGTAATAAAAGCCTAAGTCTGATGGAGAACAGAACATGTGACACCGACAACCAGTAGGTAACTAAGACACTTGACCAGAAGTAACAGCACCAAGTAACATTTCAAAACTCCCAGGACTGGCAGCCCTTCACTCACCATGGACATGGATACCATTTGGTTGAAAAGAAGAGTTTGTTTCTGGCTGGTAGGACTTCATGTGAGAACCCAGAGGCTGCTGGTTCTGGGGAGGCTGTGTCCTCTGCAGTATTGAAGAAGGAGCTGGGACTCTCCGGGGGCTGATGTGGTGAGGAGACGGAGCAGAGGGTGCAAACCTGAGAAAACAATTACAAAAGGAAACAAAGGGACGTAAAACAGCAGGAACCAAGACAAACTCTCCAGAGCCAAGTCCCAACTTCCCTTTCTGGCTATCCAGACTATGACAACCAGCCCTTTACAAAAAGCCTTCAGGACTTTTCTCTCCCCTCACTAACCACTGACTTCTCAGTTGAGATATTGAAGAAATAAAAGAGACCAACAAAGGGAAAATCTTGTCCCGAGTTGGATTTGCCAAGATTCTTCAACTGTGTTATGAATACACAGGGTTTGGAGACATTCAAAGCACATCTTTGCCAAGCCCTTTTTTCTGCTAATTTTTAAAATCCATTTGCATTTTAGGGGAAATTTGATCCGTATGTTTCTGAATCATTTACACTTAGCTCATAAACATTTTGTTTTGTAAGACAGATCTGAGGTCCAAGAAGTGTTGTTACAAGTCTTTATTATGAGCCTCTCTAATCCCGTTCTCTTTAAACAATACGTTTTCTCCTGCCAAGAATAAATTAACTGAAACCTCAAAGGTCAAGTGTGGTTTGAAACCCAGAACCCAAGAGATCTGCGCGGGTTCGGTGCTTGGCAAAGAACACTCCTAAGGGTGTAACATGAATGCCACATAGGACGGCTTTAACAGTCACATGCGCTCATCACAATGAGATTATTGGTAGTTTCTGAGGGTGGACGTAGTAGTGTTTAAATCAGGTGATATGTCAAGTAACATTAACCTGGACTATGAAAGAGATGATTGTACACTGATCTTCTAATCGTAAGATAAAACTGGCAGGATCTGACTTAGTAAGCTGAACAAGACAATTTATGCTTTCTAACATTTAAAGGACAGTGTATTTGTGAGAACAGTGTCAAACAAAGTTTGGCAATATCCGTAGAACACCAAAATGATACTCAATGTGCCAGTTCAGTAGAGGATAGGCACAAACACAGCAGAGAAAGGGGCAGAGAGGCCGTCAACACAGTGAAACAAAGCAGCAAAATAACGGTGGTGGAGGCAGGGACGACACTGGCAACGCAATGAATTGTTTGATTCCCCCCAAAGTTCCATGATACTGAAAAGTTTTAATCAGCTGTTTCTTACACGATGAAGAAAGACAGGCTTTGTTTTGCACTAACATCTATAGGTCACCATCTGCTTACATTGTGTGTTTCACGGGAATAAATAACTTCACTTTGCTGGGCTTTTGTGGAGGGCCATAGATGATAAAAAGAGAAAATGAACCAGCTAAGTTTATAAAGTAATTGGAAATGTTCGGAAACAGAGTATTTAATGAGGCAGCGCTTCTACATTAGATTGCAGTGGTAAGAAAGCAAGGAACAAAATTTTCTGTTATTTTCGCTTTTCCCTTGCAAGGTGGGGTGAGGCTGCGCTGGAAGGTGACATAGGAACCAAGAAGGGAGGATCTGGACTTGTTAACCTCAAAGAATTCAGGAGACCTTAAGCCAACCAGCTGCGTTAAGATGCCTACTTAATTGATCGTTTACATTTCTGCTGAAAGAGAATAGTAATTCAGTGTCCTGTGCTGGGTAAATATATGTTTTCCACATATTGTCTTAATTTGAATTATCCTGAAAAGATGTGCTATATGGCCTTGAGAGAGAGAAAACACAGCAAATGAATCCTGGCACTGCTCTGAGAGCATCTAGTAAGACTCCCATGCCAGGGCTCATCATATGGAGGCCAATTTCTGGAAGGCATGTCCTCAACGTGGCTCACAAGTTGCTCTGAAATTGTGGGAGAGGGGTGAGGAATTGTAGGATCACAGACTTTAGGGGTAGAAGGAACCCACATTACCACCCAATCCCAGAATCCCTTGGCCCTTAATAATCCCCAGGGACAGAGGGAGAGAGGACTTGAATTACAAGGCAACCCATGTCACTATTAAACAACTATTGCTGGTGTCTCAGGTTTAAATTTTTGGCAAGGAGTGAGATCCTTTGATTCACTCTCCAATTCTATTTTATCATTTGGGAATAAAAGATGCATAGATTATATATATGTGTGTGTGTGTGTGTGTGTGTGTGTGTATGATTCTATACAATTATGTGCTAATTACAAATCATTCTTACCTATTCATTCACGCAAGTTCCAAACCCTGATCATGCTCTCTTGGCTACCAAATATGAATCAGTAAAATAACAACACTGAGAAAAGAAAAAAATATGTTGGGCACACACTCAAGTTTTAGCACTGGTATCTCAGAGGACTTAAGTCTTATGCCCTCAGCTGACTTTAGGTTTTGCTAATTCAGACTGGATTTTCCTGTTACTGAAATAAATGAGATTATATAGTATAACTATAACTTCGAGACATAATATATTATCCACATAAAGTATTAAGAACAATTTTAAACTATTCTATGTGAAATAAATATACACCTGAAAGTAGGATTTGATTTGGAAAGAATTAGTACAAGAATTTTAACTTTTACATGTATTGAATGAAATGTGACAAGATGAGATCCTGATTATCCCGACAATTACTAGGGGCAAGGAAGTAAAGAAGAATTCATCACTTAAAAGTCCAGCATAAAAACTGAATGTATAAATAAGACTGATTTTCAAATACAGCGGATAAAACCACTTTTGTTACTGCCTAAAAACACTGCATGTCACTTTATTGAAAAAATCTTTCACAATCTAGTAATTTAAATTTAATTTTATAAACTTGGTTACTTGTTAACCAGCTCATAGTAGAGCAGAAAAAGGAAATTAAAATCAGGGTAAGAGAAAGGAGAGGCGTGAAGGTGGAAGAGAGGCCTCCTGTCAGAGGCAAGGCCCCTGGGAGCTTCCAGAAACAGTTACTGACAACTTATAGCCAGAGAGATGCCAGAAAAGGGACTTCAAAAGCCAAAAGTAGTGAAGGAACTGAGTCATTTGAGGCGATTTCATGCAAAAGCAAACAATAAACAAGCAGAAAACATGCATCCTTAAACAGAAGTTCACCAAGCAAAACAGACTGCGGAAGACAGTCCGAATCCCATTCTCTAAGTGTCATACCTACTTTCCAACCTTATTTCTTCAATACAGACACCCAAATCAAAATGCACAGGCTCTGAATATTCTGCCCTAAGAAGTTAAGTGAAATTTAAAAAATTGGGGGGGGTCTTTATCATATTTTTTAATTTCAAATTAATATGAGGGTACTAATTTTTGGGTTACATCATTCTCACTTCCAAGGTAAAGTTCAAGCTGGTGAGCCCTTCACTCAGGTGTGCTGTAAACCCTCACTGGTGTGCATTAGGTGAGATCCGGCCAATTGGCCTCCCTCCTCCCGCTCCCTCTCCCCCTCGCTAGACTATATTTATGTTTACTGTTTGTGGGGGCCTGCAATTGTTTATATATTAGTTTCATATTAGTATTGAGTACACTGGATTTTTTTTTTTTTTTTTTTTTTTACCATTCTTGAGATACTTTACTGAGAAGAATGTGTTTCAGCTCTATCCAGGTAAACATAAAAGATGTGAAGTCTCCACCTCTTCTTATGGCTGAATGGTACTCCATGGTATACATATGCCACAGTGTATTAATCCATTCATGGGTTGATGGGCATTTGGGTTGCTTCCACTACTTGGCAATTTTTTTTAAAATTCAAAGGAAGGTTAACTGAAAGATTTTTTTGATGCCAAAATAAATAAAAAAAAATTGACACTGAGGATTAATTGTAGCTATTTACTATTTTTTCCCCTATGGAATATCTCATCTCCTAATCACGTCAGGCCAAGATGACATCACTGTCATTTATGCTGAGTTACAGTGTGTCCAAGAACCAAAAAAGAGAACTTCTGAAATCCAAGCCTGTCCCCCAGCTGCTGAACTGCGGTTGACATTTCAGAGATTGCATCGGACATTTACTAGGCTCTTCTTTGGCCTTTTATACTTCTTTGAAACAAAAGATGATTTCTCTCTAAGTAGGTAATAACAGACTGGAAAAAAAAAAATCACCACTTACCAGAAACAGATCACACAAAAGCAAACCAGAGAACTGAGTCAACCATTTCCACTCATTTGGTGGAGGAGTTTGTATAACCTTAGCATAAGCAATGGTTTGCCAAGAAAAAAAGAAAGGGTGAGAACCAGGTTTTAAAACCCCATAAAAAAATCCTCTGGAGGAAGAGAAACATATAAAAGGTTTCTGCACATCCATGTTAGAGGATGTCCGATTATTTGGGGTTATTTACTCGTCCTCACTCCTACCCTTCTATAAACTCCTCCTTCTCTGCCTTCCTGGCCCCCACCCTTTGCTATCATGGAGCTCCCACCTTTGCAGTGAAGCAGGTCAGCAGCACTCAATCTACTCCATCAACAGTCTGCCTGTCTGTGTCCGCTGGGACCAAACAGTAGGTCCCAGTGGAGACAGTAGGCTGTGGAGGCTCACGTGCAGAAAAAGTGGGAATGGCAGGAAAAGCAGATGGCCAAGTAGAAGATAGGCCAGAAGGCATTCTCACCTGTGTCCCTTTCTAGTTGGGTAATCTCGAATAAATGCTCTAATTTCTCCCAGTGTCAATTTCAAGTGTAAGACAAAGATAACTTTGAACAGATGTGATGGCTCACATCTGTAATCCCAGCACTTTGGGAGGTCAACGTGGGAGGACTGCTTGAACCTAGGAGTTTGAGGCCTGCCTTAATATAGTGATACCCTGTCTCTACAAAAAAAAAAGTTCAAAAATTAGCTGGCTACAATGGCACTTCCTGTAATCTCAGCTACTTGGGAGGCTGAGACAGGAGGACTGCCTGAGCCAAAGAGTTCAAGGTTGCAGTGAGCTATGATCCTGCCACTGCTCTCCAGTCTGAATGACAGAGTAAGACCCTGCCTCAACTAACTAACTAAATAAAAAAATAAACAAAATCTCAACTCTTACTGAAGATAACATTTATTTATTCATTCAAGAAATATTTATTGAGCACTGACCAAATACATGGCACTGTTCTGAGTAGGAGGGACAGAGTAACAGAGGACAGATTTCTGTCTTTGGTGGACTTATAT